GAAATAAATGCACTGGGTTTGTGTTTGTTTCATGCGTCTTGTAATGTTTTATAGACCTGGAAGAAGAGCTGGCTGACTATAACGGGGATGATGAGAATGAGGGGGAATTTGAAGCAGACAAACAAGCGGAGCTTGCTCAAAACTGAGGTAAACACTGATGAACACTGAGATCTTCCTCACTGGCATTTACCTGCTCCACAGGTTCATATGGTGCCATGAGATTTCTCAACATGTAACATGATCGTATGTCTACAAAAGCTTGTATTGATAGAGAGTCGTAATGTTTTTGTTTTATTCACAAACTTTCTTACAGGGCTGGTGCTGAATAAGGATCCAGGACGTGACATTAGGAATCAAGACATGTTTTACACGTCAGCGCAATCACACCATACAGGTTAATGCAGCAATTCAAACACAATGAACACAAAACAAATCTCAATGTTAATTTCTGTATGAAAAACATTACGTTGGTTATTTTCATCAGGGCTTTCTTCATGAATTGTCTTTTATTTAGTACATTGATCAGAATATTACACACTGTCTGGTAATTTATCAGGCGGGATCATCAATTCATCTCTTTTTGGAGTACGAGTATTTGTAACTTAATATCCAGTTCACTACTGACTACAATCAATGACTGTATAATGATGAACGGCACATCTCCACTTCCTCTCACTGTTATAAAATGAAGCCAAAATATCGCGGATATGGCACAGTCTCTCCACAGTAGTGATTGTGGAGTGGAGTCTTGGTATCAAAGTTCCGCCCATACACTTTCACTACCATTCATGAGTCAATCACAGGGGTCAATCATAATTTCTCACCCCATTTCTATAGCATTAAATAATAAACACTTGAACATCCATCAGATGATCACTGATCATATCAGTGTTGGCAACTTCCTACAGTCAAAGAAACCTTCCTTGTGAAAGGTTGTCTATTTAAGTTGAGATCTAATTCCCATGCACTAACATGGAGGAGGTGGAGTTCATGATTGCATCACAGCCTTTTTGGCAGCTACCGTGTCCTCTTTCTTTATATTGTCATTGATTGTGTCAGTCAAACATACATGGTCTCCATTTATATGCACCTCACTGTACACATTAAACCCTGCTATGGTGGTGACTGTGCTCACATTAATTCAGAATCAGAAGGTTTTGATTTTTGGATTAGGTGTGCTGTCTTATGTACACTCTGTAATGACTGTAACTTGATGATAATGTTAAAGACCCTTATAGGGTTACTAAGTGTCAAATAGTGAAGTAATTTTAACTGTTCGAAGTGATCCCAATGACAGAACTCCTCCTTCAGTGGGCATCTCCTCTCTCTGAGGTACAACAGCATCTTTAACAATGCCTTAAGCTACTCTTGTACAGTCTCTCATAGGATGATGCTAACCTCAGATCAATAGTCAGAGCGTTTAATATAAAAAAAGCTAGGATATGCATGTAAAAAGCAGCAAATAAATGAAACGTGGGAGTACTCTTGTTGTCTGATGTTATTTACAGATGGAAAAAACCAGTAGTAATTAGCCACATAACAAATGAACAAATTCCCTGTATGGTTTATATGCTCTTGTGACCATGGCAGGTTTTAAACATACTATTTTATGATTTCTGTCAATTTTGATCAATGAGCAATCCCCTCTAAACTTGTCTAATCAATTGCCTTGGCATCTTGGATTTTATTGTCAGATCACGCAGTGACAAGGTTGAATGTTTCTACATGAGACAGAAAAACACAAATAAATTATAATGAAAGAAACCGTTAGCTATTGATATTAGATCAACAATCTAATTTTATTGGGACGCATGCCTCATTAATTCTGTGTGCACCATTTTTCCTCTGTACTCTGTTGTTTCTGTGCCCCTGCTCAGAGGTTTGATATTTTTACTGTTTCGTCTCTGCTGGGTCGATTAGACTGTGCTTTGTTGTTGAGAACATGAAGAGCGATTTGTGAGAATTGCTGTAATATTCTGAAGGACATATCTTTGAAGTATGACCAGTGTGTTGTGCTTTCATGCTCCTGGAGTCCAGTAGATGTGAACTGTTCAGTAGCTGTGCTAAAAAATGTATTCATCTGCTCAACTTCAAACTGTACTAGGCTGGAGACTGTATGTGTGTGTGTGTGTTTGCAATCATGATCAAATATAAAACATCACAAATAACAAAGATAGGATATTCTATTGCCTTGTATATTACCGTATTCAGGACAGACACTTATTTTAGTTTCTTGCTTTATTCAGAAGTGGTTGCCTCCACACATGTTGTAATGGCCATCATTTCCATAACACACTGACTTATCAAAAGTGTGTAACATAGTGGAACCTCATCTTCCTAGATTTCTGTTATCAGGAGTCTGTTATTGGAACACAGAGGATGTTTTTACTGTACGTGCAGATCAGCTTCAGTGCACCTGACTGTTACAGGTCCAGGTGTGAAGAATCGACATTTGCCGGATATTATTGAAATCCCTCCTGATGTAAAAATGCATCCGGACGAAGCCTAGTTTTGACCTAGTAGTGGCTTATATTCACCTTTAGTGAAGATGCATATAAAGAATATACAGTTTATGAAACATTTTATATGCTGGATTTTCCAACAGACCAACAGGAAGTCTATGGTTGAGTCACTTGACTGCTTGAGCACCACAAACTCTGAACTCGAAAAACATCACATCATAAAAATACAAGTGTCATCCAAACCTCATTCTGCATATTTGGGAGAACTTTTTAAAACCATGTGACATCTGGTACAGCTTTCGTGTTCCGTCAAAAGGTAAAATAAGATGTTAAAGTACATTCTTTCATCTACGTTTACTCATGGCTTCATAAAAGGCTTGACCACCTGTGAAGAGTGTTACTGCTTAAGTTATTTTTATATGGTAACATTTCCCAAACAACAGAAATGTTTTTTCCAGTTTTATCTCAAATTTCAAGTAGAATCAATGTTATTAACTTTTTTTTCATTGTGTGTGTTTCATTATTGTTTTTTTTAAATCTGGGCCTGCTCGTCAGAGTAACAATATATATACTAAATAGGAGTGCTGATGAAAGATAAAGGATCTAATCATGAGAACAATAAAGTTGCCTCATACAGACAGTTGGTTACGAGGAAACGTTTCATCAGTAGAAATATACTTTAGCTGTATATCCATGAACATCCCTCCTTTTGACTGAATGTGTCCCTCTTTTGGCTGATTTTGGAGACGTGACATGTTTTATTCTATTATCGAGTTGCTGTTATTTGTTGTCTTGACTGCTTTGGCTGCTCAAATGTAAAAACTCAAATTTTCTGAACTACAAGAATGTGTACCTGGAGAGAAAAATGTTTTATTATTTTTATACATTGGAGAAACTTTTTTGTTGTTGATTACATTTGTGTATATGTTAATTTTATTCTGTACTGCTGAAAACATTTCTGGAAGATCTAAATAATCATAGGCTTTATTGGTGATAGAATAAAGATTGTTTTTATTTCCACTATCAAGGCGTGTGTTTCATGTGGAACTTACTGTCAGGAGGATTCTTGCAATTGAAAATATCATTTGGTTCAGTGTTCGCAAGCCTTAAAGAGATGAATACATTATCCAGATGCAGTTCACAAGTTCACAAGAGACAAGTACAGTCAAATGAGGAGTGATGAGTGTTTGGTTTTAAAGTATTTGTATAGATACACCTCACTCCACTGGTGACAGTTGAAGTGATCGTTTATCAAAATATTCAAATTAAAGTTAAACATAAAAAGCTAAATGAATTCAAATACTATGCTAGAACAATAAATAGTTTAAATTGAAAAGTAAAAAATTCAGAACAATTTAGCTTTTAAAACAGAGCAAATTAAAAATTGTTACAATAACACACATAGCATTGTGTCTTGTGTTCCCTTTTCTTTCAGACTATGAGTTTTGTAGACTCTTTGGTGGACTTTAAAATACAAAACAATATTATCAAAATAAAATGTGATAGTGCTCTAAAATTAAAAAGAATCCTCAGAAAATAGTGTTCTGGGGATTGGTCACTTTGGCACTGGTTTTGCAGTCCATCATGTCCGAGGAACAGCTTCTGAAAAACCAGGGCATTACAAAGCTCAGTCATCATGTCTGACACAACACATATCAATCTCACATGGGTGCTTCCTCAAACAGGACTGTAAAATATCTTGGATGATGGAGACTGTTGCTGAATGTGAGATACAATGTAACTCTTCAACAACCTCATCACTACATCTGTTAGATACATGATAAAAGCTCTCCAGGTTTAGAAACAACAAAGACAGGTTTCTCTCTATAAGGGCTGGTAGATCTCCCACATCATTATCACCCCGACCATAATCAGTAACAGAAACATCCTTATCCTTAAATCTGTAAATCTGTATCACTGTAGTCATCTGTATCTGAAGAACTTTCATAACTCTTCAGCAGCTCTTCTTTAAAGTCTTGTAGTGAGTGAGGAGTATGCTTTCATTTTCTGTGTGAGGCAAATGTTCCATAAATATTAGTGCTGAAATTGCAGTTCTTAAATTTTGTACCTCCTTCTAAATTTTTTTAGAAATGGGTCAACTTATTAAAACACTAATCAAAATAGAATGACGTAGTAAGTGTATCTTGGATAAAATTGGTGAAGTAGATACATGTATTATGTCCAAATTACACTGCTAATATAAATAGCATTAGCTATGTGTAGTAGTACAACATGTTCCAGCAGCTGTAGCCTAACGTCCGCACAAGTCCACTAATGGTCAATATCACAATTGAGAATACTGAAGTTCATTGCATTTTACATGTACATGATACATGAGATGATACTTGCCTTGAAAATGTCTTTCTCTTCTTATCAGGTCCTCTGACACACAGTCATGTGTCGGGGCGTGTTAAATGGGGACTTAAAATCCTGAACTAAGTTGGAGATAGATTTAGTTTTTTTATGAAGTAACTAGAACTTAAACTTTATGTCAAATCACTTAATGCAGACATTTAACTTGAAATAAGACACAATATTAATTTGAGATAATTATCAACATTATTATTTCATCATAACTCAACAAAATAATGTTTCCAACTTAAAATGTTGATCTTAATCAATAAATTAGATTTTTTTTTTGGCCTGCTATCATGCATTTAATTAAGTGATGGTAACCTGAATTACTTTTTAGAGTGTGGCTGCAGTTCAAAAGTACCAAATGCAGCTGAGTTTTTGAATACGCGCCTTCCAGCTGTCCCAATCCTCCACTCAGTCCATCCCGTTACCATAACAGGTAAAATATGCCATGAAGAGAGAGGTGGGGGAGTGAACTGATGTCTATCTCTCTCATTTTGAAGTCACATCTGACTATATAAATATGAGGAATGAGTCAAAGAAACACCTGAAGTCATCCACAACCAGAGGGACCATGAAGCTCGCCTTGGTCATCGTTTGGCTGCTTGCAGGTAAGTTTGTTTTTCTGTTTTAATTATTCTGCTTCAACTAAAACACCCTAAGATTTTTAAATATATGTAATTGCATTCAATTCTCTTGCTGCAAAACTGGAGCTGCTTTTTAATATTTTGAACCTTTTCAAGCTTGGACCTGATAAGTGTGCCGTCTCCTCTGCTTCCGTTTATCAGCTGCTGCATCAGGGACCATTGAGAAGAGGGTTACTGGGAGTAAATCCTGTAAGACGGACAGACAGTACCATGTGCAGATACAGTCTCTTCAGGAGGGAAAGTCCTGTGGTGGTTCTCTGCTCAACACCCGCTGGGTCATCACAGCGTCTCACTGTGCTGAACAGTAAGAGACGCATCCTCCTGCCATGTGATTCAGTTTTCACACATTTCTACCTGTCTCAGAGTGGCATGGTGGGAAATTAGACTCAAAAAGTTTCTAAAATGTAGACAAAAAAAGCTGCACATAGAAAAACAAACAAATAGAACATAAAACTAGCCCAACAGTCCCCTTACAAAACCACAATTAAATTCAATGCACACAGATTTTAATTTGGCTCTGCACCAAATTGCACAAACACATTTTTGCTAATAAAAACATAACCTGATGGATGGAGGTATGGAAAGAAAATGAAATAAACCAAATCATATGAAATGATTCCAATTTTTGCATTCTTCTTATTTACGTTAGTCTTTATTACTGCTTCTTTAACTTTAACTTTTCTCCTGCAGGGCTGTGAAACTCAGGCTCGGTGTAAACAATAATGTGTCATTTTTAAAAAAAATTTGGTCGTACTTGAAGGGAAAGTCTAAAAATTTGGAGCAGATCATCAATACCGAGATGCAGTTCACTTACAAAGACGAGGAGGGGAAGGCCCATGACATCATGCTCATCAAACTGAACGAGGACGTGTCTGCCAAGCTGCCCACCATCGAGCTGCCCCCCGCCGATTGCTCCAAACCAGAGATAGACCAGGAGGTTGAGATCGGAGGCTGGGGAGCCAAGAAATTTGACATCTTACGTGAGTGAATAAAACTAGGATACTTGATTTAGTTTTATAAAGATAGAAGTCACTTTTCTGACGATTTATCTTTTAAATCCTCAGACAACAAACTGCCCAAGAGTCTGAAGTGTGCCACCACAAAGCTTAGCACGTGTGGTGAGAATGATACACCTGGGGCTCAATATGCCAACACTGAAGACTCCACCATGTGTGCCTTTAAGCCTGGGGTGGACGTCTGCTTCGTAAGGAAACACTTTCATTTATTTTTTCAACATTTCTCCATTTTCTACCAGAATTTCTGTTGTTGTGTTATGACCACTGTAAAATGATCACCACTCTGATCTCTCTATCTTTCTCAGGGTGACGGTGGCTCAGCTGTGGAGTACAACAACCTCTTACAAGGGATCATTGTGAGCAACCCTGTAGACGAGTGTGCAAAAACCATTGTCATGGTCAACATCTGTCACTACAGGAAGTGGATTGATGAAACCATGAAGACAAACGCATGAGTGAACCTCACACACTAATTCAGAGAGTATGATTACTCTCTAATCAATATCACCTCACAACTTTCTTTTACCATAGTTTACTTTAGATTTAAACTGGAAAGAGCAATGCCAAATATAGTTTGACTGTACAAAGATTAGATTTTACATTGTGCAGGGAAAATAGACTTTTCAACAGCAACCAGCACATTGGGCCTCATTCACCAACCGTTCCTTCGAAGAAATTACTTCTTAAAACACACTTCAGCTGTGGGTTTACGGAGATTCTGACATTCAGCAGTGTTTTCTTTGCTGGGATTTGTTCTTATGTAAGAACTGAATCTACACACACTGATGAGCACTCATACACATACTTGACAATTGAAAGGTGTGGGTAAAATAATCAGTTAATTTTAATTCTACAGTTGATTTAAATAACAAATACAGCTTTCCCTGAATGTACTGGATTCCATGCATTGTTTGTGGTATTTTATGTCGACAAAATATAACTTCATTAAATCATTCCTGACTTCTTAAATGTTCTTTTCAGTATCTGTGATTTCTCTCTGTGCACAGGGCACTGTAGTGTCATGCACTTCTATGGGAAAACATGGCAGTCATCAATATAAGAACACAGACGCAAACAATTTTGCCAAGTTTTCTTGGGTATATTTAAAAAAAAAAAAAAAAAACTGATTTAAGAAGATTTGGTGAATGAGGTCCATTGTTTGTGTATTTACGACCACCAGGTATCATACATACTTCTCTTTCAAGTTAATGTTGTAGGCTTTGTTTGTAAAAGAAAATTGTATCCATGAATAAAAAGTGGTGTGTCCCAGTTCACAGCTCAAGTGTTATTTGTTATATCTCAAGTATGTTTGAATGTCAAATGTCACATTTGCTCAAAGTTCAACTACTCTTGAGTTCTGGTCAAACTTTAACTTTATAGTGTCAAGTCACTTCGCAGAAGAAGTAAAAGCCACAAAGCCCCACAGTTTTAGTTATGAGCAAGGGTAGAAAAATAGAATTTCACATAACTTTCTTTAAGCATGGAAATCGAACGTTACTATTGAATACTCACCTAAATAGAAATTCTATATTTATGCCTCAGGCTTTAAGAGATTATTCTTGTGTCCTTGGTGTCACTGCACCATAGATATTGTGTTTGACCATTACTGTTCAGGGTCACTGTTAATTATAAAGCTAAATTATAACAATTAAAATTGTTTAATTTACATGAGAGATTAATACAAGAGAAGATTTTCTTTTGTTCGTGAGAACTGCAGATCTTCAGTCCTGTGGGGTCAGCAGTGGTTTGAAGTGGTCTGGAAAGTGAGATATTCTTAAATTTTGCAATTTCAAAAACTCAACTTGCCCTCGACATTTGAATGTATGCAGGGTTATTATCAACTTCACTTGTTCAGCAAATAACTGTACTCTTAATACTCAACATTGTCATTTTCTATCGTGTGAGCACATAAATAAATACATCAAATTCTTTTATAGGATTTAATGATATGCATCCATTGTCATTTCAGCATTATTTTCAAGCCATAACAAAACTGTTCAGGAGGCAGCTTATAAAAAATCCCACTGGCCAGTTCTGTGCACAAAAGCACCTCTTTGTGTCTGACATCACACAAACAAACAGACTTTCACAGATGTGGATATTGACACTCATTCAGGTCCAGTTGTGACTTCTCTGGTCACATTTCTCAGTCAGGTGGGGGAAAAGAAATGGGCTGTATCAAACACTCCTTTGCAGTATCTCATTCATTCACACACACTGTTCAGACATGGGCTGAATCGGGGCCATTGCACACTTGTTCAGGTTTCGGCTGATGCACGGAGACATCCTCATGTGATGAAGAGCAGCATCAGATTATCTTGACGACAGGGAAATACTTATGAGCCGAGAAGTCAAACTCAGGGAGCACCTGGGAACACAGAAATGTTTTTTATTCCGACAATGTCTTTACAATATGTAACAGCAAATGAAAGCATAAAACTGATCACAATGCCTGGTGATTAAACCACTAAAACACCACTATAGACACGTAAATCCTGTTTAAAAATATAAAGCCATCAATTCAGAATTAAAACCTTTTTATCACTTTGTGCGGCAACTAATCTGTAATGACTGTAACCAAGTAAATAATAGTAATCTAGAGAATGTGTGTGATGTGTTACCTTTGTCTCCTTCTTGTGTCCTCCAGCCAGCAGCTTCATAACCACTATGTTGGGTTTGGCCACCTTCAGTATACGGTTCACCTGTTATCGTTCGTTAAAAGCTGGTTACTGACTATGTAAAATGTACGAAGTAACTTCATGCAGACAAAGGTTGGTACAATACAGCAGAAAACATACTGTGACCCCATAAAACATGAGGAAATCTATTAAGGAATAGATTAATACATCAACTTAATTTATTCGGAGGAATTTCAGGACTTGTGGTTGAGCCAAAAACACCACACAGCATTTCTTTTATGATGGTTTCATTTACTGACCTCTGGATCTGGGATAGGCACATTTTCTAGGAAGAGCTTGGCCTGTTGAAAATGTTTGCTGGCTGCCAGGTAGAGGTCAGCCGAGCCTGGCGGAGGATTGTATTTCTTCAAATCGGACATTTCCTGTAGCGGTCAAGATCGGGAGCAAAGTCAGAGAAAAGTCTAACAGAGGAAAGTGGAGTATGGATGGAGGATAAGAATAATAATGATGTAATAAAAGCAAGAAATGGAAAAAGTACCTTAAACTGGATGTAGTGCACAGGTGGAGGGGTGACCACACTGTTGAATGGGGCGAAGCGATGCTCGTAGCGAACCTGCTCGCTGTCAAGCTCAAACTGAGGCTTAGGCACCTTTCCATCCATATCCAAAGCTACCATTGTCTAGAGAGAGAGAGATAGAGGCAGAGAAAGGACAGATTACAGCTCTGTGTGGCAACAATGGGGAGGGAGGAGGGATCATTAATTCATGCCTTACCTTGTACATGCCAGCACACATGTTCTGGTATGCTTGACTCATGGTAATCTCCTTGCTGAGAGGGCGAACTGCAAAGTTATCCCAAACATATCAGTATCTGCACTTGTACCAACAGGAAGAAACCAATTTGAAATCGAATTGGAGGATGATGCAACCACGTGTACTTTTTTTCTTCTTCTTGGTCTTTTTGCTGCTGCGTCCTTTCAGTTGCTCCTCCATAATCCGTTCTTCAGCCATCTGAGAGGTGTCGGCTCTGCTCAGAGTGGACATCAGCCACGCGTAAAGAAACTCTGACAGGTACCTACAGTAAAAAGAGAAGCATATTCACAGATAAACAAAATACTCCTGTGTATGACATTGAGAGATTGTTTAGGCGACATCCATACATTTTCTTTTGAAAACCTCATTTTCTAAAAAACTAAAACAAACTCTGTCCATATGTTCGTCAGGGGGTCATGTGATAAGATCCAGATGAATCACCAAGAACGTTATGACAGAGAAGACCCAATCAGCTTGAGGTTGTGTGTGTCTTTGTTGTCATTTCCAAACATCTCAACATTGATTCTGCCCCTCCAGACTGAAACACAGTCTGGTTTTTCAAACTAAAACAGGGCCAGCTGCTTTTCCAAACTTCTCAGCAGCTCTTAAACTCCAGAGTAGTGAGGACACCAGGCATGTCCATAGCAGAGTTGATGCATTTTCAAATGAAAATGTTGTGGTATGGATGTAGCCTTAGTGTTTCCAAACTATGGCCATTCAGCAACAAACAAACGTGTGTGATCCTACCAGTAGATGTAGTAGTACTCGTGCATGCTGTAGAGCTCCAGTTCAAAGCCACTCAGCAGGTACTGGATCATGATCCTCAGGTTGTGGTAGAGGATCCAGGTGCCAAGACAGGCGAGATGCTGCCGCTGAGGCTCAAGTTTCATCAGTAGGCCATGCAGCGCCGCATCCACCTTCTCTGCCTGTGAAGCACAGAGGAAGACTTTAGGAGCTGGTTTTAAAATTATAAAATCAATGTCCCTGAAATGAATGTATGAAATCATAGGTTAAAAAGTGAAAACAGTGTCGTGTTTAAACAGTATGAAAGGAAGAAACAGCTGTAGTTCACCTCATCCTGCAGCGTGGCAAACTCTTCAAGAATGTGACCCAGCTTGTCTCTCTGCCGAGCTCGGTTGTGTCCGTGGATCTGGATCAGGCTGCAGAATGGCTACAGAGAGAGTTGATAACATTCTTACACACATAAGTAAACACAGTTTCTTCTACTTGCCTATACAAAGGCAATGTTAATGGTAGAGTAGCCTACACTTTCAGAGCTACACCGATAATCTAATTCTCTTATTAGAGTACAACTGAAAATTTCCCATTCATTTCCATCCATTTCATTTCTTTCATTTCAGTAGATAGCACAGATCTTATCGAACTCTCTTCCTTGAAAGCAATTCTACTCTACAAACTATTATTGTTTATTAAACTAGTGGAAACAGCCCAAAATGTGCACAGAGAAACTAAGATATAAAAATGTATTTAACTGCACCAGATGTGCAGACCATATGCATAGGAACAGTAAAGGTGACGTACTCTGGAGCAGTGTGTAACAAAAGAGTCAATGTAGTCCTTAGCCTGGTGGTTGTTAAACAGACAACACCTGGGGAGACACACACACAATAAGCTCAAGACACAGTCAACAGAAAAGATTTAAAAACAATGACCCAGAGAAACCACTGACTTGAACAACCGTAAGTGATTCTCAGGGTTTTTATCATTTAACCAATGACACACTTACTTGTATGTGAGGACAGGAGGGCTGACGAAGTACCTCAGAGCATCTTTAATCGTGTCCTGCATCAGGTGGGTGCCGAAGACTTTCTTATTATCTATCAGGAACGTTGTCTGGATTTGCAAAAAAAAAAAATGAAATGGTTTTATTACTTGTTGCATATATGTATATGAGCAACATGTAACACATTTTAAAGGGTTTTTCTCTCAGATCAGAGAGCAAATATAGTGACACCTCTGACGAATGGATTAGAACAACAATCATTCACTCACTTGAAGTAGTGATCTGGAGAGCACACATGGAGACTGCTCACTGAACTCACAGAAGAAGTCCTGGTAAAGCCACAAACACAATATTCATTAATGTTTCATATATTTAAAAAAAATATATGGTTAAGAAATATTTTTCTTTGTATTTCTAATTGTCTATGTTTACCAGTATGCCATGTAGGTTGGTTGTGTTGATCACGTCACAGACTGTCTTTATGCGTTCTATAAGTTTGCTGAAGTAAGCCACCATGTCCTCCCTCTTAATAATCTTGGCGTAGCGAGGAAACGTAGGAGGCAGCAGTCTCTGGTTGACCAGGGGCTCAAAGCCCATCATGATGGGGTGGTCTGCAGCAGGCACAGAAAGATACACACAAAGGTTAATAAAGGTCACATTTTACAATTATTAAGTAATCTTAAGAGGCTCAACTAAATGGAGTCTAGTAGAACAAGAATGTGTATAATGTGTGCATTGTGTGTGTGTGTGTGTGGGGGGGGGGGTTACCTCCTTTAGTGGTGTCATTCTGTGACTGGATACCATGCTGAATACTGGAATGAATGGCTGATAAGAGGTCAGCTGCTTGGGCCACAAGCTTCTGGGCCTCACCCACTGAGCTGGTCTGAAAAAGATTCAAAGACAAACAAATAATTACAAAGAATAAATATTTCATTTACACATTTCTGTAAGTACACAATACACTTTTATGCAAGCCGCTTCGATGCTGAGTATCAAACAGAAACACTACAGCCACTTATTCTGTCATCCCTTGTTTTTGTGTGTATTACCTCTTTTTTGGTGAAGGCAATCAGTGCAGTCAGTAGAAGGCGTGTGAACTTGATCCTATTGAAGAGTGCCAAGTACTGCTGATGCTGAAATAAAAACATGGAGTAACAATAAACAGGCATATAAATATATACAGTTATCATAACTATTTAACAAAAGATGTTAAGCCACATTTTTAGATTGATTGTTTTTCTTTTTTCTTGTTTCTAAAATTAAACAGATAGAAATTTCCAAGTAGAGTCTCTAAAGGCCCACATGCTGATAGAGAAGGGAAAAATTTGTAATAAACAGAAACAGAGAAGAGAGCCTTGTCTTGCGGTGATCCAGTACAAGGCTGTGACAGAGCAGAGACACTGCCTGATTTACTCGTCACATCCTATGTACTTTATCAAGAAATTGCAGTGTTTAGCTCTTGGAAGCTCTGTTTGGTTTTTCATAAACATGACCACTTACCTCCAGCTCAACCTCTGGGTCGCGCTGCTCACCCTGTCGACTACGCGTGCTCTGAGGGAGAAGAAGATAAACAAGGAACAATGTAATATTCAGAAAAGTATTTGTATTTGTAGAAGTTCATTGAAATGGCAAATAGAGAGTCAACAACAAATACCTTAACTTTTCTCTGTAACTCATCCTCCACATCTTTAAGCATACCTGGTAGAATGAACACATGAGAGAAAGATAACATCAGCTCCTGTATCTTTGTTCTTATGAATGAACTGTATTCATCTGTAATGGCATCAAATGTCTACAGCAAACATGAAGCTGTGGACTTGATCACAATGCAGTACTTGTACCTGTCACCCGCAGGTCTGTAACATTATTGGCCATCTTGAAGCCATAAGTCATGGCCTGGAAATCCTCCTGTAGAAAAGAGTGAGACAATCAGGTATAGAACTTATACCAGTGGGAAGAAACACCAATAATGCTAAATTGAATAACCTGATCCAAGGAGAATTGAAATACACCCAGTCTATAGCCTATTTATAGCCACAGAAATATGCAAATAAAATGAAGCCTTCCAGTGCAGTGTCACTCATGCACAGGCACAGTTACATACTGTAGAAATGCTTACCTCCTCGAACACAGCAGCCTTGTTGACTTTCTCTCGGGCAATGTCACAGACCTTCAGGATGCCCAGGGCAAAGGATTTGAGTGCTGGCTCCTCTATCAGGTCCGGGTTATGGACATAAAGACACGTGAACACAGTCTGTGCCAGGGAGTGACCCTCGAGCCATGTGATCTAAGTATATACATGTTTAAGCAGACATATCAACAAGGGTGTCTCACAGTGGTGCATGTGTCTGTAGAAGAGAGCTACAATAGCACAAATCCCTTCTTCATGGTTCATCCAAACACAAACCTCTAGCACTATATGTTATGCACAAAAACACACTGACTGCATGGAGATGAATTCCCAACAGATTGGCAAAAACAAAGGTTTTTATTGATCAAGAAAGTGAGACTCACCAAACAACAGAAACATGTGTCTATGATTCCAATGAGCTCAGGAAGACGGAGGTCTTTAACCTTGATGACACCTTCCTGAAATCAAGAGAATAAAACAACAGCGATGTTGATTTAATTTATGTTGAATTATTTATTGTGAAAAATTAGGCCTTCTGTGTTGCTTCCTGGGAATTAATTGGTTTACATTGGTACCTTGATAGCTTGTTCGAAGTTGAGAACTTTCCTGTTGACCTGGTTTCCAATCATTCCTGCATCCATCTTAGGATCCATCATCTCTATGGCTGACATAGCCTCAAAAAGGCCAAACCTGCCACCACAGCAGTGAGATTAGTGTATTTTTTAATGTGTACATCTTAGATTCTGAAGAATAGTAACAATACTAATAGCTGCTGCGGACGTTAATATAGTTATACATGAAACACTTAGTTGACCAGTGGTTTTGAATCTTTTTCTGGCATGCTTCCCTTCATTAGCCATAAAAAAAGCTCAATAATAAAATAAGCATTTGTGCATCAACATAAACTCTTGATTTTTTCTCTATTACATTAAACATTGTCATTAAACTTAGTTTCATTCCAAATTTTTCCCTTGGTCATCCACACCTCCCAGCAGTGACTATATGCCCCAAGTTCGAGAACCACTGACCTTCTCCACTGAAATCTATTATATCAACTATAATCTTTTTATTAGAGCATAAGCAGAATTTTTTTTCTTCAGTTAAGTAGCAGTATACTCACAATTTGTCATGTAGCAACTCCCCAAGGTTCAACTCTGGATAAATAAAGGATGAGGACAAGGTCAGAGGAAAGGACACAAGCTACACAAGTTATTCCCTTTGATACATGTAACTTCACACATGTTACGCACACCCAAACACTCTTTACCTTTGCATGAACCCTTGAATTCATGTGTAATATCAACCCAGTTGGCATTGTTTTTCATCTTTTCTGGGATGCCTAACCCCCAGCCAGCATCATCATCCTCCACCGCTGACTTCATCACCATGGTGACTAATAAAGACAGAGAGAACCAGGACAAAGTGTGTATATTTTAAATCATTAGCAATTACAACATCATGAGTCATTAGGAAAAAACATCCCTCCCCCTGCAAACGTAAAACATCAAAAGCACATCATTGAGTTTTGCTCTGCGAATGTACACAATTTTATAAACATGTTTTATTTTAATACTGTGACAGCACTTAATTTGATAACACAACAGGTCATGACATAAACTGCCACAGGGGAGACAGTATGTCTATATGTTGTGGAAATAAAAACCTGTAGATGATTAAAAGCATCTTGCCTAATAGCATTGCAAGTACTACATGTTGAGCAGTTGGCTGTCTTCGTATATATATATTAATCATTAAGTGAAAAAATATACATTAACGTATACACAGTCATTTACTTCATCTCTTCAGTTCTTCCACTAGACAAGTAGCTTGGTAAACTTTCTGTTGACTGGTCAAGCATTAAACTTGCAACATAACCGGCGCAGGCAGCTCACATGCTTTTATGCTTTATCTCCGTGCGCACACGTAGCAGCCAGGAAAGTTAGACTATTTCAATCCTTCTCATTTCCCAGCAGTATCCTCTTAAACCAGCCAAGCAACATTTTGTCATAATTTACGCTGATAAATAAGAACAAACCTGCATGGTTTATCATGTCCTACATGTTTCTGTTTGTTCTTAGATACTTTTCACATGTGGCTAATACCTCACAATAGTAGACTTGATATGCATAGCAGTAGACGGTTATCATCGTTCTCTGTTAACACACTTGAGTTAAGTTAGATTTCAGGACTGAGCATCCTGCACAGTCTCACCCTTTTAAACCAACGACATGTCAGTGTTATGAAAAAGTGCTCAAGGCTGAGTGATAGATTGATTCTATTGACTGATAGATAGATCTTTAACTCACGTATAAAGGTATATTTACAGTGTTGTGTTCATAGCACATCCACCTGCCGTTCCCCATTACCTTTTAGCTTATATCTGACAACTGAGCTACGAGATAACACACTGAAATCGACATGACCTGATCTCATGCAAGCAAAATAAAGATCACAGGTTAAAATGCGACTGAATCATTAGCATCAGGAGGCATCTAACTGAGAGGAAACCAAGCTAAATATCCAACAAATGCACAACAGAACCAGTCTGTGTTTTTACTGTCTCCTACTTTCATTCACACCTATAAATCCAGGTAAGCTGCACACGATACACATTGCAAAAACAGTCAGAACATGTTAGCTAGCTACCACCAATTAGCCTGCTAACAAGCTAATGCTGCTCACAGTGTACATTTCCTGTGAACAAACCCTGAATATCACCAGTTTAACACGTTGTTCAGTTTAATCAGGTACACACAACACTGGCGATGTCCTAAGAAAGCCACATTTCGTTGTGAATTGGCACGTACCTTAATATCTGGTATTATTTTTTGTAGCTAATCAAGACCTTCATCGAGAACTGTGAGAACCGGCGCATAGCTTTGACGTCATAAGCCGCTGTCACGTCGGCACGGGAAATGTAGTCCTAGTGCGACAAGAAGGAGCTCAAGCCTCCTAATGAACCGGGTATAGAGTGAATCCAGCGCAGTGGAGGTGTATAACAGTGTTAAAGATGCATTTTGGTGAACTTCACGGTGCTAGTTTGTCTTTCTGGACCATTTCCACCCTCGTCCTGTTTTCACATTAAACACACACACAGCAGGGGGGGAGGGGGTGTCGCGATATCACCCGACAGCCCCTGACAGTCGGGGGCTGGTGTCATCACAACATCGCCAGGGCGTTCCAGCTCCAGCAGCAGCAGCGGCGGCGGCATCATCCTCGGTACTGGAGCACCCGGACCCGGGACAACACTTCGTCTGCATACAGGTTCGTACAACCCCCGTCATTGTCACTGCGACACCCGCGTGCAGCTTCAGCTAACACTGCCTGTGCGCTCTTTATCCACTGCGACCACTTTCAGCTGCTAGCTAACCCGCAGCAGGCAGGCGGCCGTGTCGACGAGTGACCCCCCCAGCAGGTGCAGCCCCCACCTAGGTTTGAAATCTAGTTAAACAGCCCAGCCCGGTTGTTGATCTTGCTGAACAAGGGGTCGGTGCAGCCTCTGCTTCCTCACATTTCCCTGCAGGCTGGTGTCAGGACATACGCCTGTTAAAGGTTCAGTGTGTAGAATTTAGTGGTGAGGTTGCATGTTGCAGCTGAGTAACCGTCCCCTCAGCCTCTGCTTCAAAACATGACAGCGAGCCTTCAGTTGTCATAAAAACTCACAAGGTGTTTAGTTTGTCCAGTCTGGGCTACTGTAAACATCATGGCCCCCTCTGAAGAGAGGACCCGCTCCAGAAATATACTTCCAGTAAATATGAAGTATTCAAATATAAAGTGTCCATTCAAGGGTGAAGAAATCATCAATTCGTACGATTTAGATGATCACACACTAGTGAAAACATCACCAGGATTATTTCATATGCAATTTATGCCAATATTTATAATATAACCTAATTTCTGTGTTTAGTTTGTCCAGTTTGGGCTACTGTATACAACATGGCGGCCTCTGTAGAGAGGCCCCGCTCTACATGTAAATATAAAGTATTTAAATATAAAGGGCTCCTAGGGTGGATAAATCTACAATTCGTACAAATTAGGTGATCACACAGTAGTGAAAACATCATAGGATTATTTTATATTTAATGTCTGCCGATAGATCCCTGTCACCTAAATCTTACACACTGAACCTTTCAGTGTTTAGTTTGTGAAGTCAGGTTTGTGCAGCACATGCAGCCCTGTAGGGTTGGTATCATGGTGGCCAGGCTGCAATCTGTCTGGTGTGAGCTAGCCTTCACACCCTGGTAGGTTTACCATCGGTTTGGCTAGTGTATAGAAACATGCATGATGTTTCTGAGTAAGTGTGACCTCAGCCCTTGTACCTGTCTGGTAAGAAAAGGGGTGTTAGGCTTGTTGCAAGGTCTTGAAAAGCCTGACTTAGGAGATAAATTGAGCCATCTTAGTTGACAGTTTGTTTTGAACTGAAGAGGACACCAACACCTTTCAGTTTCATGGCAGTGTTTCTCTAATGTTCAGTGTGTCATTGTGATTTTAAGCACAATATAACCTTGTGATAACTATCTAATGACACCATCATTCTGCCACTCCTGACTGTCAGCCTTACATTTTACAGCAGCTCTGTTTATGACGCATCTCAACCCATTAGTGCTTCTGTATTGACCTCATTTAAACTCTGTGAAAATCCAATACACTAAATTGTAGCTTGTAGTCAGTTACTACATATATTTGCTGAGTGATGCTGTGGTCTTTCAAAATATTGTTGTTATTCAGTAAAATGCACAGAGTAATTATTTTTTAAAACCTTGTGTTCAGATAAGCTCGTTCATAGTTCTTTTGTCTGCCGACACCTGAGAGAGCATGTAGGACAGCCCCTTTTTGTTGTGTAATATCAGTCAGCAGAAAATGTGTGTGTGTGTGTGTGTGTGTGTGTGTGTGTGTGTGTGTGTGTGTGTGTGTGTGTGTCTTGTGCTGTTGTGATATAGTCAAGATGAGGCAGCTGCAGGCTAAGGCAGCTGCAGGTACACCCAGCACAGGTCACTAGTTTATTACAGGGCTACTGCAGATGCACAGACAAAGACATTCACAGCTTCAGGTACTTCATATATATAATCTGATTCTTACTACAGCCTAAGATTGCAACAGGCACATGGGGTAAACGTTGATTTGCTACATTCATTTTTAAACATGTACGTTTGTTCATTTGTGTAAGTGAGGTCTTTATTTTCTTTCTCTTGCAGACGTCATGAATTGTTGAGTTGGTCAAAATGAACAAACCTAAAATGGCCACAGAAAAAGGGTGAGTTCCTTTGCTTTTCCAGAAAAATCCGATGCAATTTCACATTTGCACACAACCACACATGCAGCCCGGCATGTGCTTCTGAGTGAAACCTGCTCTGTCACAACCATCTGTTCACACAATGCTCACGCTACCTTTTTGTCAATACTTACCTTCACTCTCCCTGCGGTCACTCTGCTCTTGTACTGTTTTAACTTCAGTTGCACCTGCGTTTTTTTTCTCTGCTGTCACAATGTGTGTGTGAAAGAGAGAAAGTGTATGTGAGAGTGCAGGAGTGTGGAGATAATTATGTGTCCTCACTGGAACCACCCATATGTATTTGTCATGACTAAAAATAACAGCACCCATATTTAATTCAGAATTTATGCTTGGCAAAACCTTTTGATGTATCTACCCTTAATCTGTGTTCACGTGTGGGTATTATGCAATGCTTTGATATTGGCTGTAAGCCTCCCTTGTTATGTTTTCTTTTCTCTGTTCTTGTATCACTTTCTTCATCATTCTTTCTGTTTTTCCAGTTTTTTTGTCTCTAGCACACACACACACACACACACACACACA